GCCATGTTTGTAATGACTTATCATGAGAACAAACGTATTCACGTGACTTTAATAACATTTCTTACTTAATGGAAACAACACAGTTGCGAAACTGTGTTGTTTTTTTTTTACATTAACAGAATATCGACAAAGTTTTGCGCACATTTGCAACGGAAACACAGCTATTGTGGAAATTTTCCTCTAGCTCACCAGACATGGTGAACTTTATGAAGGTATAAAACCATAGGCTTCTACCTACACTTTTTTTGGTCTTTACCTTGTCTTTTTGACATTGACAGGAATTTATAGATTTAAAGACTGTTTTGTTTTCATTGTTCTGTGTTTTGTGCTGTTTCTTAAATGGAAAATTTGAAAATGACAGAAATAAAAAAGATTTAAAAAGTCACATACAAAAATAAAAGGTTAGGGTTAGGTCAGAGCAACATAACAAGTACAACACTAAAAACTATAAAAGTTCATAAAACAAGTTCATAAAAACACATTCATACAGAAAAATTGAAATAACCCCCAGCAGCAATAATAAAACAACAAACCAGTAGCTAAAATCAGCCAAACTAACAAAAAGCTATAATATAGATGCTAAATTGGAAAAACAGTAGCTAAAATTAGCCAAACTAACCAAAAGCTATAATATAGATGCTAATTTTGAAAAACAGTAGCTAAAATCAGCCAAACTAACCAAAAGCTATAATATAGATGCTAAATTGGAAAAACAGTGGCTAAAATTAGCCAAACTAACCAAAAGCTATAATATAGATGCTAAATTGGTAAAACAGTGGCTAAAACTAGGAATACAGAATAAGTTAGAGTAAAAGGAACAGAATGGTAGCTAAAAGCTAAAATTCAGAAAACAGCAGCTTAAAGCTAAATGTGTGATGAAGTAAAAGCAGCATGACGTGATGGTGCTGCTCTCAGGTGAAAATACTAAAACAAAGACAAAGGAAGCTTTATTAGAAAGCTATTCCTAACGCTCACATTGAGCTGTTGGTCAAACAGCCTAAACATGACAACAGCTGAATTGTTTTTGGTTTTGGTGATCACGTTATCTGTGAGCCTTCAAAGCTCTGGAGGTGTCCTCTTTTCTGACTTTTAGTTTGTTAAATAAAGAGCATGATCAGATTGTTTGCAGCTCTGATCTTTGAACAGTTTGCCTTGTGACTGCAGGTAACCTGACTAAACACATGAAGTCGAAGGCACACATGAAGAAATGTCTTGAACTGGGAGTGTCTGTGAGCATGGATGAGACGGAGATACAGGATCACAGTAAGAGGACCTCCTGATTTCATCAAATAATATCCTGAGAAAAGCTCTCTGTGTTTTTGTTCTATGTACATATCACTGTTTACAATAGTTTTATTCACAATAGAACATGTTTAAACCAAGAAACAGTACGTTTAAAAATCAAAAAAGCCATTTTGGGTTCTATAGCAGCAACACGTCTCACAAAAATTAGTAAAAGAGCGACAAAAGACTGTAAAACTAAGTGGTATGAATAAGAAACCTGTGGAGCAGGTCTGGGTTTATGAAGACTTTTAGAGACTGAATCTGTCAGAAGTAAAGATGGGCAGAGGTTCACCAGTCTGAAATAAACTGTTCAGAATAAAGTTTCTCAACAAATAAAACTGAAAGACTTTGACTCTCCCATAATCTCCAGTTCATAATCTGATCAACAGATTATTATAATCTGTATTAATCTCTGAGCTCAAAGGCTGAAAGTCAACATTGGATGGTTGTGATCTTCAGGCCCTCAGGGGTCACTGTGTTAAGAACAGGTCTGGTTCTGACATCACTGCATGGACTCAGGAACATGTCCACACATCAGGGGCGGTTCTAGGGGCGGGGCCACAGGGGCATTGGCCCCAACTGAAATCTGATTGGCCCCTGAAGTGCCCCTGTCCTGTCACTCATCTGTCCTTTACCTGGGAGTGATGATGGTGGATGCAGTTCCATGTTCAAACACTAGAGGCACCAATGAGTCCAATAATAAAGTCCAGAATGAATCAAGCGACAGAATTCTTCTTCTCTTCTTAAGAAAATTTGAACAATCAGTAAAATGTATGAAAAACTGGTGAGGAGATTTTACTGTGAAAGATTTTTTAGTACCACTTTACAATAAGGCTCCCCTTATAGATGGCTTATAAAAAGTTTATAGATAGGTTATTAATTCATCTGTAAACACTTTATAAATCAATAAGTGTTTATTATGCATTTATTAAGAATAAGAACTGACAAATGATGGCTGGATTTTCTCACATGTTGTGTGTTTGAAAATATTTTATCTATGTACAGTAAAATGTATGAAAAACTGGTGAGGAGAT